GCTGCAGGAGCTCAGGCGCTGGCAGAGAGCGCTGTGGTCGGGCCCGACCACTCCCCTCCCTCCCCCAACTAACGATTGATGTTCCCGATGGCTGGGTGGTGGTGAGCTATTGGTGTAATTATTGGCAGCCGTGGTTAAGAAGCGTTTCAGTTACCGCACTGAAACGCTCGTTTGTGGAGGTACAGAAATGCGACTCCTCCGCGATTTCTTTTCCAGTATTAAATGTAGCTAGGAGTTACCAGCGGTACTTTTGAGTCTTCTCCCTTTATCTGCAAAGGTCTGGCGTCCCGCTGAGAAGTTATTACCGATTTGCATTCGTTTCTTTAATAAATGACTACTCAGGTCGGTAGTGATGTGACAGAATTCAAGCCTCTGTAGTTCTGCAGCCCCATCTTGATTTTTTTGTGGTTGTAAATCGAAATACTTGAAATGTAAAGTATAAATTCAGCATTCTGCAAATAAGAGGTGGGCAAGCAACTTTTCAAAGGAAGCGTTGACACAAGTAGGCTTTGCTTCTGAAGCTGCGTGCCAACAGAAATTGTTTGGCTTTCCAGCAAGGCAGATTGTGAAACCGATCTAATGACTCTTGATTATTTTTCGTCTAGCTCTGTCCCTGGTCTGGTTCGGCCTTTAGTTACGGAAATACTTGTTTGGTTATGGAGGCAAGACAAGGCCGATTTAATTATAGAAGCCCCAGAGGAGAATGCAGTTTTTCATGCAGCTTGAGAAATTGAAGTAGCTGTCCTTGGCAACTTGATCAGTTTTGGTTGATACATAGTTGTATAAGTGCTTCCAGACTGGGGGTGGGGGGGAAACCCCACATCAGAACCCATCCGCCCCCACGAAAAAAACCCCAAACACAAGAAAAAACAGACTTGACAAAAAAAAAAACCAACATAAAAACATGATGATTGTCAGCTTTTGGATTTAAGTAGCTGCACAAACAAGCTGGCAGCCTCTTCCTTCAGTACGTGTGATGAAATGGGTAAGTATTAAGAGGCACTACCTTATGCAGATTTCTCCAGAAAGTCTTCATTTCAGCCTTAATGACAACATTGCTAATTCGGCAGCATATCAACCGAATTCGGTTTGTCCGTAAGCAGTTAAATAGCTGTTTCTTGGACAGTTGTGGGATGTCAGATGCACTCTGGTACACATGGGTCAAATCTTAGCCTCACACTAAACAGCTTTCAATGTAATATGGCTGGTTTTGGAGCTGAAATTTCTGGCTCATATTCTGAGATAATAAATAAGATTGGATAACTATTTTCAACAAAGTATGTAAATGAAACTACACTCCTAAGGAAAGCCCTTGGATATTGTCATGTTCAATGTGTTGGTGATTTTTGGGATGGAACCCTTGCATTAAAGTATTTCGTAGGACACTTTTTTACTTACCTTTTGTTGAACGCTTTTGATACCTAGTTAATTTGTTAAGTGATGTGTTAATTCTTTTGACGCTGTGAGACACCCTGAGGCATTTAAATGTGACAGATGAGGAGAAATTAGAGCTAGCCTCTTGCTGGTGCATTCTGAAGTACGGTAAACACTTCCTAGTGAAGTGGGGATTACGTTAGCTGTTTCAATAGCATTACTGGTCAGACTCATTTTTACTACTTACAGTTCCTTGCAGTAGTAGGAAAGCTTAAAATATTTCAAGAATTAAATGTAGACTACGAAAATAAGTCCAGTGGTACTAAAGAGGGTGCACTGCTAAAGCATCATCTCCTGCTCTTTCCAAGTAGTAAATAAGTAAAAGTATCAGTTTACTAGGCACAGAAGCTGACTTCACCAGCCCCATTTCTTAACTCAACAAGCAATCTTTCCAGCCACTGCGTTAACCTATGGAAATACTTTCTTTTTGGTTATGAAGTTGAAAACTTTACAGTGCTTCAGTGTTAAAGACACCTTGAATGCTGTTGTGCTTAATAAGTGAAAGTATGCTGCTGCTTTTCACTCCATTGCAGTACTTAAAGGGTATGTTTCCTCTGTCCAGCTGTTGTCTCTTCATAAAGCTTGTAGATGTTTAGTGAAACTTGTTTTGGTTTTTGGGAACCATCAGCCTCTGTAAACACTTGATTGAAGTTAGATGCTAAGCGGGCTGGGGGTGGTGATGTATATCTGTTGGGAGTGGTGAAGCTGGAAAGGAGTGGAGGCATTGCACAGTGTGACTGTATTAGCTTGGTTTCCTAAGGACAAGGCTTTAAAAAGATCATTTGAAATACAGATGAAGTACTGGAGGAGGAAAGGATTGTGTACTTTGACACTTTCCCCTGGGGGTTAGAAAGCCCCCAAAAAGGGGGTTTTTTTTTTTTTTTTTTTTTTTTTTTTTTTTAATGGCAGATTTTAAGAAAACTTTGTTGCTTGAATTTATGTATCTGAATTTTCTTTGATTATCCAAGTATATCCTCTAGGATAGGAAATCTAGAGACTTCAGCTTTTGGATTGTAGTATCTGAAAGCTCTTGGCATGACAGACTATTCTTGAGACTAGAAACTTGTTTAGTATCTTTTTCATTCAAAGGCTGTCAGACCTGTATTACAGAAAATTTGGGAAACCTTTTTCATAGTTTCAGGTCCTCCATTATTTAAGGGAAAATAGCTAGTAGAAATGTATGTGCACTCACTGCAGGATCCTATGGTAATAACCATATTACAAATAATTACGTATGTGAATAATACTAAATGTCAATTAATGGGTTAAGTATGTTGGTAAAGCTTGACAGTATTTCCCAGAGTTTAATAAAGCAATCCCAATAGTCAGGCTTTGACATCAATCTAATGAGCTAAACAAGAGTAGCTGGGGGCTATAAAAATAACAATAAAATGATCAGTGTCTTGATCTGCTTCCTGTTGTGGTGAGTCTTCCCTGTGGCTTTTGTGGGAACTTGGTTGAATGCCTTAAGCTAGGCAGAGAAGCTAACAAGGATAAGAACATCTCTATCTGAGACTAGTTCCTTATTCTGGAAGCTAACTATGATATGTATTTAATATTCGTCCAATACAGACTTTGTTTAGGCTACATCAGTTGTTGGTGGTCTCGTAATTTAGTGAAAATATTAGTGGCCAATAAAAATGGGTTTTTCATAAGGTGCTTTCGCAGCACTGTTTCTAAACAAAATGGACAGCTCGCGCAAAAAGAGTTTTGTAATGCTGATCAAATGAAGTGCAGAAAAACAATTGGTTTACTGTGTCAGAATGAAAGATGTTCTCTTCACTATGTGGTTATAAGTTAACATTCATCCAGTATGATGACACTGTGGAGGAGTAGCATTATGCCTTCCATGTTTAAAGTAATGAATAGCTTGCATCAGAAGCTGCCAGTACTAGCACGTTTTAAAGTCTGTTAGTGTACCATGTGAATTTTCATTGCAGAACCTTGTAGTCTAAGGATTAAAACCGGTGTTGTCACTTCCTTAAGCTCTGATGAAGCTTGCAGGAAGATTTGAAAATTGCAGCAAGATTTGAAAACGCTTTGAAAAAAATAGCACTTCTTTGCACTCTTTTTGCGTGTTTCTTTTGCAGTTCATCTAAAACCCTAATGATGGTTTTCAAACATACATGACTCTCGGAAAGAGATCTTCTCTCCTAGGCTCCTAAAATTTTAGATGAGTACAGAATTTCTGCCCTGTAACTTAAATAGGTGATGGAAATAATGTGGAGGACTCTTTGGACTACATGAATGTGCCCTTAAAAAGAACAAGCGTTCGTCTGTCTGTCTTGCAGAATAACGCTGAGGTTCTCTGTGTGTTTCTGGCTCTGTTGCTGCTCCTTTCTGCTTCTCATTCCCTGTAGTGCAGAAAGCAAAACGTGAATTCATAAAGACTGCTACTGGTGGAGATGTTTCCTGATCTCCCCCAAAGTTAAATTGGACCCTGGATTTGATTGTCCCAGTATGGGAAGGGGGAGGGGGCAGGGATTGTGAGTTAGAGTAGTTATACATTAATAGGGTCTTGAACTATGGTACTGAGAAAGTTGCATGACTGTAGTGAGGGGGAGGAGAGGTGACAGGCATTCAGGATGAAGTAATTGCAGACTTCTGACCCAGATCAGAGCAGTGAGTTTAACTGCTTATCTTCTTTATCTAGACCTTACTAACGTGCTGCTGTTAGGAACTGGTCTGTGCCAAGTACTAGTGCTGGCTTTGCACAGACTTCTGTTACACGTGTAACTTAAATATCTGTGTTACTGTAATGGGAATGTCCTAGGAATGAGCTAGACTAGCTTAACTTACCAGCAAGAGCCTTTTCATTTTTCTTGAACTGCAATTTGACCTGCAAAACCACTTTAGTTATTTGTACCCAGCTTAGGAGTCATTATCTGTATAGTCTCCTGGGCTTTCCCGTTCCAGGGTCTCTCCAGAGGCTCTTTGTTAAAGTAGAAATTCTGGTAGCAAGCTTTGTTTACCAGGCAGAAGTGTCAAAAAGGCCCAAAAACGTATAAAGAAACTTTGAGAAACTCATTGAACCATATACAAAAAGCTCAGCTTTTGCTAGAAAAGTCACTTCTTGCCCTTTGAGTTGCTCCCTTGCATTAGGGGAGGCGAAGTCTTTTCATTAATTGCTTGTGTTACATGCTAGTTGTTTGCAGAGGGTTTGCAAGTTTGCCTCTTCAAGCGGAGGTGCCATCTAAAAGAAAAGTGTTTAATTTCAGAGTACTTTTGTGTATGTCTGGTAGGTTACTAGTAACAACATCTGCTAATTGGCTTAAGTTGGGAACTCTGTGTGAGATTGTCTCTACCTTAGTCTTGCTGATGTGAGGAAAAAATACCACCAGTATATGATCATTCTGTAGTCAGCAACTTGCAGGTAGTTTGTTAAAGTACTGTGAAACAGTTTTAATGTAGATGCTGTTATACTGGTAGGTATCCACTTGTTTGGCTGGTGGATTTTTGGGGGGAACTAGTGTAAACCATGTGATCTTGACAACTTGCTGGAGTAACTAGTGGTTTATTTACTTGTACGAGTGGGGTTTGGCATTGAGTGCATGAGTACGATACTACATGCTACTCGTGCTACCAGTGCTTTGTGGGTAGCTTGACTTTGGTGCCTTTTGCTACTTGTTGATGTCTTCTTTGGTAAGCATGTTTTCCAAGGAGTTTTGCCTTCTTTTCTTCATATGTTCTTCATACATTTTTCTGTTTTGGGGCGCACAATTCTTTAGTAAGGTATTAAAAAACCAAAACCAACCAAACAAAAAACAAAACCAAAAACCCCAACAAAACCCTAAACCCCATGTTGCTGAAGGAGTTACTTGAAGAATTAGTTGTAGCAATATGTGGGAAAGCCTGTTGGACCCAAGTTCAACTTCTTAAATGTACTATACATTTCGAGGCACTGAACTCGAGTGATCTCTCAACTCTTGTCCAGTGCTTTCCCTGAATACTTATCAGGACGGATTCAAGGGCAGGATTTTGGTGAGCATGCGATATTTGTACGTCTGCTTGCATAATCTTTACTCTGCATGCACTCTTTTAGCCATTTTTGGCTCAGCTGCCGTGCCTAATCTTTCTGTCGATTGCTTAATCTTGCTTTTGCTTAGTCATTGTAGGGATCCCTTACCCTTCTAGCTGTGGTATCTTGGCTCTTTAGAAAAAGAGTTGGATTGTTTTGTGGGTTTTTTTTTTGTTTGTTTTTGTTTTTTTTTTTTAAAAAAACAAACTTTCTTAATCTATTAAAATAATGCAAGTTTTGGAGTTCTGGTACTGCTGGCAACTGGTAGTAGTAGTGTCTTCCTGATGCACAAGTCTTCGTGTATGAACAAGTTTTATTTTTGTTGGAAGAGAATTAATAGGAGGTTGACATGGTGGATTTGAAGTAAATGCTAACCTGAATTGTCTAGAATAGCAGCAATGTTTATACCATTTCTTTCATTTACTGTCTAAGCATAGCCTTTCTGTTCAGCTATACTCCAGGCAAGATGACCCTAAATAGTAGAACTTTAGCCTATTTTCATAATTTTAGATCCTGTAGTCAGAAGTATTAAAAATGGAGTTGAGGTTCTGTAGCCTTATTTCTTGTCACTGGTAAAGTGTTAGAACTTGGCTGCCTTAATTGGAGGCAGTAGTAATAAAGTGTTTTCAACTTGCTTATCTAATCATTCCTGGTGTTTATGTAGTAGTTCCCTACTGAAAAGTTGAGTGGTGAATTTTTATGGCATGTTACTTATCTGTTACATAAATGAGTAACTTGAAGCTGCGTAAATTCGCTGAACTAGAAGATGTGATACATCTTGCAGTACATACAGAGGTATATGATGGATGGAAATGTGGAACTGCATGCAATCCTGAAAGTGCATCCTGGGGAAGAATCAAAGTCAGTGGAGAACAGGGATTTAGGTTAAGGGAATGGTGACGGCTTGAGGTGTCGGCGGACACAGGGAGACAACTTCTCTGCCATCTCAAGGGTTTTATCAGCAATGTGGTTTTCAGATTCCATAGTCTGCTAAAACCAAATTGCTACTTTAGTGTCTTGTATAAGCTTTCAGTTGTGTTTAAGCAGTTCAAAAGTCGCTGGATTACTAAATAATCGTACAGTAATGTATGTTGGAAAGGACCCTTGAAGATTACCCGGTCCAACTGCCAGCTCAGACTAGGATTAACTTGAAGGTGAGGTTCCTTAGCACCTTGGCTAGGCAACCTCAAGGGATGGAGATTCTGTGGGCTCCCTTGCCAACTTCCTTCAGTGCTTGACTGCTGCTCTTGTCAATAGCTTTTTTTGTTATATCTACCTGGAATGTTCTTGCTGCAACTTACACCTTTTGGCTTTTATCTTTTTGTGGTATAAAGGGTTGTTTGAATAAAAATACACATTTCCTGCAGAAGTGAGAACACAGCATGTAACTTTAGATAATAGTTGGGCTATTAAGAGACTGACTGTTTGCCCTAATGTTTTAAATGTTAGTTATTAGGGGTAATGCCTCTTACTGCTCTGTCACTGATAGAGACTTCGCTTCCTTGGTTTTGGCTTCAGAGAATACATAAAGCTTTTTAGTTATTCTGAGAAGCTTATGTTTGCTCTGAGAAGTCTAGCAGCTGATTTTGCAAGGACAATTTATTTTATTTTATTTTTAGAAATGTAGAAATGAAGAATTTCCATTTTTAGAATGTGGAGTGGTTTTCGGTAGCAAATTCAAACTCATTCAAAATTGCAGCACCCAGGTGGTGAAGAGGTCCTAAGGGAGCAAGCTGGGGGAGATGCTACTGAGAACTTCGAAGATGTTGGCCATTCCACAGATGCAAGGACACTGTCAGAAACATTTATTGTTGGGGAACTTCATCCGGTGAGTATGTGAGAATACCAATATTTGCTGTTTACTGTAGTGGTTTTGCATCTAGTTATTTCTCTGGTAATTTACTTCAAAATAAAGGAGAGCTGCTGGTTCCGTTGGATGCCATCCCTGCAGCTGTTGGTGGATGGACCTGAACTGGACATAGGTTCCCCTAATGTGAAGGGATTTGATTAGTGTAGCATAAGGATGGTCGCATCTGAATGTTAGCTGCTTTGAAATATTTTACAGCTTAGTTCTTGAATAAACTGAATATGGAATCATGCCATTTCTGGTGTATCCTGTGAGCTTTATAGTGGGACTCTATAACCCCTGAAGATGCTAGGTCAGAATGTCTAGACCTTTGCTTATGTCAATACGTAGAGTGGTTACTGACAGCCTCTTTCACCATGGTAAGTAGATATGCCAGACTTCCATCTGGATCTGAAAGTACAGTTCAGGCTTTTCACATGTATGTTTAGAAAATGGCTGCTCTAAGCTTCTTGTAGTTTGATGCTCTGTCTTTCCCCTCTCTGGGTCCCCCCATTTTGTGCTGTATCTGTGTCCCCTACTTGTAGCTGTCAGCATTGTTTGTGATCAGTTCCACTGGATCATCTGTCACTTCCTTTTTTCTATACTGGCCTTGCCATTTCCTGGACTTCTAACAAGCACCTTTCTGTGGCCGCAACCTTTGTAGGATTTACTTCTAGCTACAGAGCTGCTGCTGCCTTGGCTTCCCTCAGATAGGCCTTATTTAAGCTCTCCTGCATCTGAGTGCTTGAAAACCACTTGTTAGAGACTTGGGCTGCTAGTGTACCCATCTGCTCTGCTGCCCATCTCCACCTCTTCTCTTTTTCTCTTCTGTCTGTTTTGTGTGTGTTTTTGTCTTGCATTTGGGGTAAATATCACTGTCTTGAGTAGCATATTTCAAAGTAAGATTCCTTATCTTGTATTTGTCTTGGGTCCTCTCTTGATAAATACTAATATTGTAGCTTCTCCTGACACGAAATAATTCAGCTCTGATGCACGTTTGTAAGCTTGCAGGCCTGTCATCTATTTCAGATGGCAGTTAATGCCAGTAAACTTGTTCTTAACCTGTCTGCTAGTCCAGTTCTTCTGTGTTTGACAAGTGCCTGTTTTCATGTGACATGAAACAAACAGCTTGATAGTTTCATGTACAAGTACAGCACTGTCAAAATTATATACGTTGGGCTTTTTTGTGTTGAATGTGACTATTTCAATTATGACTTCCTGACTTTATGAAAGATCCACAGAATTTGGAACCTTTGTACTGGACGTTGGAACAAAACTAGTTAGATGACTTTGCGTGACAGTATGAGTAGACTAGGTAGAAGGAAACTAATACGATTGTAATCAGTGTATAAGCTAAGGATATATGTACTGTTTAGAGACAAAGGAAATGCAAAATCATGGGGACAAGAAATAATGAAATATGTTGGAGACTGGAGTTTCACTTCTTTATTGTACACTGAGAAGTATTATTTAAGGAAGTGATCTTGTTTATGGTAGCTCAAAATCATACAGTGGCATCTACTCTTTTGCAAGTCTGTTTCCTAGGTAAAAATAGGTACACATTATCAGAATAGAATTGCAAACTTAATTTAGTGATAAATGTTATTTGAATGCTTTGAGTTACTCTCTAAATATGGGGTGTTTTTTTTTTGCTTGTTTTCTTGCAGGATGATAGAGGGAAGCTTCAGAAACCAACAGTAAGTGTGTTTCTTGAAATGCCATTGGGCATTGGGGATAGTGTGTCTCTCTAAATGGTATACCTCCAGAGGCAAAAATAATTCAGCTCGATTTAAAGTGTAGTGTTTCAGGTCATAAATCTGTTAAACCTGTTGATCTGGCTTCAACTTACTTTTCCTGTTAGCTGTTCTTTTCTTTAATTGGTAACCAGGAGGTTACTAAGTGTGATGGCGTTACACTACAGCAAAAAGGTGAGTCTAGAATCAGTCAGTGGCTTTCTAGTATTCAGTTTAAGAAAAAAATCAGTTTATAGACAGAATGGATTAAACTAAGAAGTGTTTGTGGGGAAAAATGTTATGCTTAATACATGGATACCACTAGCAGTTGGAGAATGTAGGGGCATTTGATTGCTGTATTACAGATGAGTTAATTTGCAATTGTGAACCCTTTTCAAGGGTGAAAACACTGTTTGCTTCTTGACTGTTTTAGCAGATTTTGCCAAGTGTCCTGTCAATGCAGTATTTCACTTATTTTCTATTTTTTTCTATCTTTAATAGAGTAAAGTTGTGTTGGCACTCAACTATCAAACTTACAAAATTTAGATGTCCCTTAAAGGAGCAAGTGTATTGGGGATTAATTTGTACAGTTGCTGCTGCTGTGTGTATAGAGGATGTTCACTCAGGGCTGGCTCAACAGTACAGCAGTGCACTGAGGAAGCAGTTAAAGATCATTTTTAAATGAAGTGTAGTAGGAATAGGATCTTAGTCTTGCTGTTTGAGAGGTTACTTTTAGGAAACGACTTTTGGAAGATCTTCCAATAATATGAGTAAGTTAAAGGAGAGAAAGTTAAAAAAACTATATACACTGAAAGGTTTGCTATAGCAGTTATTAATTTTATTCTTAATTAAGAACTGGAACTAGTATACTAATGAAAACAAGAAATGGAGTGGTGACTGGAATTCAGAGTTTCTTCCCACCAAGAACAACAACTGCATTCCGATTTCTTTTGAAATTCAGGGCAATTTACACTTAAACTGTAGGAGCAGCAACAATAAACGCAACTGAGAAGCAGACTGCCCGGTGCAAGCTGCAGTATACTATCTCTTGATTAAGCTCACAGGAACTTACTCAACTGAAGTACTTAAAATATTAGCTTAGCCAAAGTGTTGCAAACTGGGCGTTAAGATGTATCCAAACGACTTTTTACTATCCTCCTGTTTGGCTTAGTCCCTTGTTTTAGAGCAGGTCATAGTTATCTACGCTACATGTGTGTTTTCCATCATTACAGAAGGAAGCTGGAGCGCTTTCCTCCAGCAGGACGCATGGGCGTAGCTGATAAGGCAGTTCCGCTGCGCGCGGGGCCCCGGGTGCGCAGTGTGACAGGTTATGCCCCGTGCCCTGGCCCTCCAGGACCCGTCAGAAGGTCCTGTGCTTTCAAAGGGCCTGCTCATCCTTGCACCGTATTTAAAGTACCCTTGGTGTACGTGCCCAGTGTCATACTGTTTAAAAACAATATGAGCTGGGCTGTATTCTTACTGTCTTGGTGTGGGGAGAACCGTCCTCCAGCACTGGATGCGGCAAGTGTGTCGTAGCAGGCGTTAGCCTTGATAGTGTGGGCACAAGCTGCTCCGCACTGTTTGGCATTGGGATTAGTTTTTCACAGAAGCGTTGACAAAACCAATATAGATGTAATCATCTGAGTCTTATTCTTTTATGCATGGTATTTGTCATGTGTAAGCCTCTGATGATTAGGGGGTTTGAAAAAGTAGCCTGTCTGAACCTATGTGAGGACGTTGGGAATCTTTTGCTATTTAAATGAATTGCAAATATTCTGATATTGAAGCAATTAATTTTTCAGTGATGGATCTTGTACCACTAAATTTAAGTACAGTTTTAATGCTTGGATCTTCTAAATGCACTTAAGGCCATGTGCAATTACTAGTATTCAAATTAATAAGTCTTCATATAAATTGTGCATGTGTACCCAACTGGGGTTTGATCTTGTAGTGCTGCTTTTTCTATGGAAACTCAACAAGAAGTCCAAATCAGTATCAGAAACAACTATAACAATTTGACTGATTCTTATACCATCTGAAACTAAAAAACTGAGTTTAATAAGCCTTGTGGATGTAAATTGGTAACTTTCTTCATGTAGGTTCCATGTAAAAAATATCTGTGTATTAATTCAGAGTCTTTTCAATTAGATTTGAGGTAAGTAAGGGTTCTTTGCCTTTTAGGCAACTAAAACTTTTCAAAGTTTCTCAAACCTGAGGTTGAAGTTAGCTTCATGGAAACTTGCAGGAAAATTCCTTGTGATGATACTTTTTTTTTTAGTAACTTCTGATGCAGTGTTGACTACAGAAACTGCTGCTAGCTAGCTTCTAACACAACAGTCTGTTGTAGTAGATATGCTTTCCAAATGCAATGCACTAAGTTGTTTTTAAATTAGTCCCACTTAATGAGTTTTTAGAAATTGAGGGGATGGTTAAGATTCAGAGGGATGTCTGCCTGACATAAATATCTTTTTATGCTTTGCTTTCCAGGAAACTCTTATTACCACTACTCAGTCTAATTCCAGGTATAGTATGACACCTGTTGTCAAACTTAAAATTCCTCATGACTATGTTTCTGAAGCCTAAAAAGCTGCATAGCTTCTATCTGCTGGAAGCTTAGATGTCAGAGGGTGGTGTGTGAAAATTTCTGTTCTACGTGAAGTCCAAGTTGGCATCTGTCTACCACTTTACAAGCATGTTAGCTTACTGTCTAGATTTTTTTCTCTCTTTGGTATGTGTCAGTCTCTACTGAATGTTTTACGTTGCACAACAATAGCCTTCCTTTTTGGAGGCTGTCCAGTCAATAGAAGACACTTGGTGCCATTGCTGACTTTTTTTACTGACATGGATGCCTCACTTTTAAAATTTGCTACAACTGTTGCATCTAAGGGAAATGAGAGGATTGTGTCTATAAGAAGGAAAATCTGTCAGAATTGGGAGGGGGGGAAAAAGCCACCTTGGGACAGTACTGAATAAAACTTCTTAGTTACGTGCTGCTGACAGTTGCCTGTTGCTGAAACCTCAGAGGATGATTCCATGCTCCTCTGAGTGGGGAGCCTGGGTGGTTGAAAGTGTTGTGTGATGCTGCTGCTGAAATGGCTTTTGAATTAATGGTGTGCGGGGCAGCATGCCGTGACTTTAACTGTGTCTGGAGTCCTACTCTTTTCTATTAAGCAAACTTCTTGTAAGCTCTAGTACAAAGCCCCAACAGTATGAGCTTTTTTACTTGGCTAGAGTATTACTGGCCAGCCCAGGTTGCCCTAAGTGTTGCCCTAATGTTGAAGCATTTGTTGGGGCGGGGAGGAAGAACTTCTTTAAGCAATTATTTTTTTGTTGTTTTTTTGAACTTGTTGATCGTCACTTCCTAAACTGCTGTTTCAAAAACTTCCTTCTAGTTCGTGGTCCAACTGGGTGATCCCAGCAATAGCGGCAATTATCGTGGCCCTGATGTATCGTTCCTACATGTCAGAGTAAGCGCCTTACTGAGAACTAATTCAAGAAGAGACTGATCTGGAAGAGAATATAAGCAATCCTAACCCAATATCTTTCCAGACAAGAAAGAAAAATTAAACTTTTTCAGAAAACTGAACAATTCTTTTCTGCTGTGCACTTTTCTTAATGTTGCCTTCTTATTTGCTGTTCTGAAGCGATAAAAAGGCACCATTTCTCTTTTTGTATAACAATTTTATTCTCTAATGAATTATTTGATAACTGTATTGGTTTATGTGTTAGAACATTGTTTTGTATGTAACACTGATTCTGATTATTTCTCTTAAATCTGTAATGGGATCCGTAGGACTCTTTACATATAAATTTTACAGCTTTAAATGACTACCAAAACTGTGGACATGTATTTGTCCATGTACACAACTTCACGTAACTTAAAAAATCATGTTGTCTTCTTAAATGTAGTGTGTTTGAATGAAATGCTAATTAAAAGTATTGGAAAAAGCTGAGTGGAATAGTGGGTATAGGTGCCTGTAAGCAGTTGGGCCTTACCAATCAGGCTGTGATGAGCTGACTTTTTTCCTTTCCTCTTGACATCTGCTGTTACAGTGGTTGTAGATACCGTTACTAGCAAACTGTTCTGTTTGGCTCCCATTGAAAATACAAAACCCAATGTTTGGCCCAATTATGTCTGTCTCAGTTTTGTGAAAAGAGCACATTTTTCTGTGGTTTTTTTGAGGAAAAAAACTTATGTAAATTCCACTACAGGTAGTATAAGTGCTACTAAATAATACTGTTCCTGCCAAGCACTCAGGTGACTCTAGAATTTGTTCTGGAACTTTTAGACTTTTCTAAAATCTTCAGTTTTGTCATGTACATTGTAAGGGGAAAAACTGATACATGGAATCTGTTTCTGACTGTTCAGTGATGTGCTCCTTGGTGCTTTACTATGAAGAGATGGCTATTTTCACTGCTAAATACAAGGTAACTGAAAGTTTGCATTTTGTGGTGACCATTTTTAGTCATATGTAAATGATCATGAATAAAACTTTAATTGCTTACTCTTGCTGGCTCAAATACATTCATTTCAAACTTTTTTTAAGGCCTTGGAAGGGATGCTCTTGCGTAGGGGGACGCTTCTCGGAAGTACCTGTTTGACGGTGCATCCTGAAAGTCAAGATGTGTCTCTTATGTAGGGGACCCACATGTGAAAAGTGGGAAGTGTACTGTAGAACAGTTAGCCTAGACCAATATTTTCATCAGCATGACCTCAACACCAACTAGTGCCTTAGCAGTGGCTTGGCCTTGCAAGCTCTCCCTCCCTGACATTCATCAGGACTTGAAACGCGATTCCAAGGGCTGTCTCCCAGCAGCACCAGGGAAGATGCATGCAGTTTAGGCCCTGTGTCCAGTCAAATCAAATTGAAAGATAGTACTCTGTAAACATGAGGGCTTTTTAAAAAAAAAAAAAAAAATGGGGGAGAGGAAATGATGTGACTTCAGGAGATTGTCATGTACGTATGTAGGAATAGAATCATTAAGATTGGAAAAGACCTCTAAGATCATCAAGTCCAACGGTCAAACCAACACCACCATGCCTGCTAAACCATATCCTGAAGTGCCCCATCTGCATGTTTTTTCAACACCTCCAGGGCTGGTGACTCAACCACCTCCATGGGCAGCCTGTTCTAATGTCTGACCACTCTTTTAGTAAAGAAATTTTTCCTAATATCCAATCTAAATCTCCCCTGATGCAACTTGAGGCCATTTCCTCTTGTCCTATCGCTAGTTACCTGGGAGAAGAGACCAACACCTGCCTCACTACAACCTCCTTTCAGGTAGTTGTAGAGAGCAA